CCCACTTAAATGCCTTTGGCAATATTTGTCTTGTGACACTCTCCACCTATGTAAATGCACCCTCTATCCTGGTACTGTATATAAGCACCTCATTCACATTTTCAAGACTGACTCAATCCTAGTCTCTAACACCAGCTCTTAGTGGGGAGGAAGAGCAAGAATGTGTAACAGGAGGTAAGTGTTATTGGAAATACATTTTCAATTTAAGGAAATGTTAACTTCCAAAACATAGTTACCTCTACACACACTTACAGCTAGAATACCACACTGATAAGGTGGAGGAGCCAGTGAGGGTATCATCTATACAGAAAGCATCTGCCTAGATCATGGGTGTGTCAATAGAAGATTGGCACTCTATGGGAAAACTGCACTACATCCAGAACAGGTATGCTCTTCACCCAGAACTTAATTCATATGCTGTGGGGGGAATTATAAATTATTTGTCATCACTACTGGCCAGACCCCAACCAGATAGCCAAGGTTCCACTATTCGGGGTTGGAATTAAAGGACTATTGTTCCTATATACCACATTGGTGGCGAAGACAATTTCACCACAGTCTATATATGCATGTATGTATGAATGGATCCCAACCTGTAGCCATAGAGTGATGTGTTCTGAACCACCAGAATCACAACAAGAAAGTAAGCAACAATAAAATGGACAAACCTTCTCCTCAACCTGAAAAAGTCCAAATAGCAAAACCTTAGGCTCGGAATGACAGGATCATATATGCCTTACTCAACCTGAGGAAATAGAACTCATCTGGTCTGGAATTATGAACATTCATCCTCACTCCCCAACCATGTGGGCAAGGTAAGTTCCACTTGCCCCTGGAATTATGGGGAGGACATGGAACAAACTGTGCTCAACCAAGGATCCAGAATGGTACCACTCTGTATTTGCAGTTACGAGGAGACAATAGACCCTCTTCCATGAACAATGAACAGAACCAATAGTGATAAAATAAAAAGTGCCACACTCAACCCAACCAGATAGCTGAGCATCAAATCTGAGCCTGTATTATGAGTAGAATCCTGAGTAGGCTGGTGCCTCCCTATTGACATCTCAGAAAAAAAAATCCAGGGCTGCAGGAAAGAGGAGCCCCAACTTCACCCACTTCTCCAAGAATGGAAGAATTCATTCAAAAACTCTGAAGGAAAAGCCTCTGTCCACCACCCCAGTGACTGGAAAATGGGTGTGGTAAGGACTCCCTAGCTCCACTAGTAGAATCTGAGGGATAATGCACATTGGGGAGTCCTGAGGAACAGCGCTCTGGAAACAGTGTATCAGGTGAACCAAGGTCCCTAAATTTTTAAAACCAAACCAAACCAAATTTATTCAATCCAATGATCAGCAGGGATGGGCAGGATCCCCTTATGCTTTACTCATGATAGTCCATGAGTGGTGGTCCAGTATAGTACTGTAACACCACCCAGTCAGCCTCAAGATGGTCTTATGCAGGGGTCACCAAACTACAGCCCGCGGGCCGGATCTGGCCAGCGAGCTCAGTTCATCCGGCCCACCACTGCACTGTGCCACAAATGAGCTAAAATATAATTATTTTTATGGAAAATCATAGATTGTAGATAAACTTACTATGTGGAAAAAATTAAAATAAGTGTAAGTAAAAATGTCCAAATTTGTCCAATCTGATTTTTGCATCTGACAGTAATATAAGTTTAGGAAAATCTGTGAAATAAAAAATTCGGCAACTTTTTGCGACTTTGGATATAAGAGCGCTTTTTGTGTAAGTACCTGCAATGAGAGTTCATTCCTGCAGTCGCCTCTATGCACATTGTTGTAAGACGATACAATGCTTACAAGCAGTTGATACAAGTAGTGTGATGAGTGTGCACATGGTTACACAGTTTTGTGATAGAGAAGACGTGTGCATGTATTGTGTGTGCTTCTACGTATATTTGTGTGTTGTACATACGTGTTTATATATTTATATTTAAATCTGGAACACTGGTTCAATACACGGATTAAACCCGAACATGCGACTTTGGATATCAGAGTGCTTTTTGTTTAAGTACCTGCAATGAAGTTTCCAAGAAAAGCGATTACGAGCCTGCTGCAGTGATCGTGTTTTAACTTGCATTGCCGAGTTTAAACCGGTTTGAAGAATGCCGTATATAAAAGGGACTGACTTCAGTAAATTATGTCATATATTTTGCATATTTGAGTGTTGAAAGAGCTCACAAGAGGTAAGCGTCTAATATTTTCAAACTTTGATATTTATTTAAGCCCTATATTTTAATCACTATACACTCAAAAAATGACTTAACTAAATTAACAAAGATTTTAATTAAATTAGTATCAAATTCTTAATACTATATTTGCCTATTAAGATTCTTAATATTTTTATTAAATGTGATCTTAATTATCTTTTATGAAGCTCTTCTAAATAACTTACATAATAAATTTTAAATACATTAGAAAATTATAAAAATTGCTTAATCAAATAACTTATCGGGAAAAAACTTTTAAACCAATTACATAATAACGTAATTTAATGTCATGAACTATTTACATTTAGTTTGTCATGTTTATATACATGTCAAAAAAATAGAAAAAATATTATTTTTCTAAACTTTTTGGTAGACTATTCAATGTGTAAATAAACAATTGTTTTTCATTTTCAGATCCTGTTTTCTTCACCCAT